TCTACAGTGACCTGGATCCTCCTTCCTCCCCTTCTTGAAAATAGGGACCACAATGGCCCTTTTCCAGCTGTGCCAGTGGCTCTAATATGACACCGGCTAATTCTTTCAGCACCCTTGGATGGAGTTCATCCAGTCCCACTGATTTAACACATCCAGACCCTCCAAGTGTCTCTTTACTAGGTTAGTGCTAACAGTTGGTGGGCTGGTGTTTCTCCTGCTTCTGTCAGTAATGCATTTAGATTTATCTAGATCTGTGTTCAAGAATACACAGGCAAAGAACTCATTGAAGAACTCTGCTTTGTCCATCCTGTCATCAATTTCCCTTTTCTATCCCGTAGGGGTCCTATGATGCCCTGCACCTTCTTTTTGCTCCCTATATACCTGAAGGACTTTTTGTTGTCCTTAATTTTTCTCGCCAGCATAAATTCTAATCCTGCTTTGGCCTTCCTAACTGATTCCCTGCAACTAAGCGCCAATGAGGTATACTCCTCCTTGGTAGCTACCCCGCTTCCACAGCCTGTATGCCCCTTTTTTTGCCCTTAGGCTTTCCTGGATTTCCCTGTTTATCCAAAAGGGCTTCTTGGCCCCTTTGCCCACTTTTCTACGCAGTGGGATTGCTGCCTCCTGTGCCAAATGATCACTTTCTTGAGGAACGACCACCCTTCCTGGACCCCCATTTTGTCGATGCTCTTGAGCTTTGATGCCCCAGTAACTAATCTCCTAAGCACTCTGAAGTTAGTCTTTTTGAAGTCTAGCACTTCTGCCCTGCTAGTTACTTTTCCCACCCTTCACTGGATAGTGAATTCAATCAATTGATGGTCCCTATCCCCTAGGTTACCTTGTACCTGCAGATCCCCCACCAGGTCATCCCCCACAGTCAGTACCAAGTCCAACAAGGCGTTCCCCCTAGTGGGATCATATACTTCCTGCTTTAGGTGGAGGTCCTGTATGCAGGTTAAGAACCTACGTGAGTGGTTAGTTCTGGTTGACCGCTCCTCCCAGATGTCAGGGTAGTTTAGGTCACCCATGACAACCATATCTCTCAACCGTACAGCCTCTGAATGCTGCCTGGAGAATTCCAAGTCTATCTCATCCTCCTGGTGTGGCGGTCTATAGTAGACCCCCCACTACCAAGTCCCTTTCCCCCCGACCCTCTTGTAACCTAACCCACAGTACCTCAGTTTGGCCCTCCTCTCATCCCATCTTGATGAGAGAAGATGTATATTGCTCCTTAAACATAGAGAGCAACGCTCCCTGCCCTTTTTCCCCTATTCCATCTGTACAACCTACAACCTTCAATGCCTACTAGCCAGTTGTGAGTAGGGTCCCACCAGGTTTCAATTAGCCTGGGCTATGGGATGGGGAGGGGGCCCACTCCGGCCCCTGGATCCAAGGAGTAGGGTGGGAGGGCTCCAGCCCCAGTCCCCACTGCTATAGTGGTGCTCTGCCGTGCGGGGTGAGGTGAAGCCAGTGCTGCGCAGTCAGCACCCCACACCCCTGCTGCCTCCAAGGAGCCGAGGCAACCAATCAGAGTGCAAATAAAGCATTATAGATAGACAGACCAAGGCTTTTATTATATTAGAATTACGGCTTTGGACTAATATCATACGTAGTTTGTACTACATACAAGTAGATACAAAAGTGCTGCTTAAAGCGGTGTTTATCGAGTACCTATGCTAAAGCTTGCAGCAGTTTCAAAAAAGTAAAATGCATCAATTCTGAATGAACTAAGTCCAGGGGTGCCCACTGTAAATTTACCACAGGCATGTTTTTTTAAAAGTCATTGTTTTCAAATTTGCTCCTCACTTCTCTGTGCTGAGAGAGAGCAGGATCTGACAGTCAGAGGGGAAGAAGGGGCACCCCTTCTTCCCTTGTGGGAAACACTATCAAAGGCCTTGCTGAAATCTAGGTAAGTGATGTCCACCTCCTGTTCCATGTCCAGCTGCTTAATTACCTGGTCATAAAAGGACACTAGGTTTGTTAGACATGACCTCCCCTCAACAAAGCCATGCTGGTTGCTTCTCAGTACCCCAACAGTTGTGAGCTTGTGGCTGATGTCCTCCTTGACTATTTTTTCAAAGATTTTTCCCAGGACTGACTGGTCTATTGTTAGCAAGGTCATCCCTCTTTAAGAAAGGAAAGATGAATATCGCGTTAGCCCTCTTCCAGTCATTTGGGACCACTCCTGAGTTCCACAACTCTTTGAACAGCCTTGCCAGGGGCCCCGTTATGAGCTCAGCCAGCTCCTTGAACACTCTCAGATACAGGCAGTCTGGCCCAGCAGACTTGAAAATGTCCATATGATCTAAAAGTATCTTCACCTGTTCGGGACTGATTTTATGTGGACTACTGTCATTGCCATATTCTCTGTGCCTCTGGACAGGTGATGAGTTCTCACCTGGCTTCAGGAATACTGATGTAAAATAAGTATTAAAGAGTTCTGCCTTTTCATGGGGGTCAACTGTGGGCTTCCCCTCCATATTCAGTAGGGGTATCACAGTGGAGCTTGATTTTTCTTCTTGCTCCTTATGTACCTATAGAAGGATTTTTTGTTGTCTTTAACTTCAGTTGCCAGCTTCATTTCCATGCATGCCTTGGCTTTCTGTGCCTCATGTTTGCAGACCCTGGCAGTGTAAGCGTACTCTTCTCTGGACACTGAACCATTTTTCCATTGCATGTACTTTGTTCTTTTTGAGAAGTTCCCTAATGTGTCTGTTGAGCCAGGCGACCCTCTTGGCCCTTCTTCCACTTTTTGACTACATAGGGATGGCCTCTTTTTGAGCAGTCAGAATAGTCTCTTTGAGGAAGCGCCATCCTTCATAAGCTCCCAGGTCGTCCAATTACTGGTTGCGAAAGGCCTTACCAACTAGACTCCTAAGGTTGCCAAGGTCTGCCCACCTGAAGTCTAGGACTTCTGTTCCGCTGGTAAAATTCCCAACCTTTCGGTGGATGGTGAATCTAATCAAATTGTGATCACTGTGACCCAGAGCACCTCCAATCTTCAGGTCACCTCCACGTCTTCCCCTTTGGTCAGCACCAAGCCCAGAGTGGCTTTACTCCTAGTTGGCCTCTCCACAGCCTGTGTCAAGAACAGGTCATCTATGGTTGCCAAGAAGTTGGTTGATCTGCTGAAGCTGGCTGAATGGTCTTCCTAACAGATGTCAGAGTAGTTGAAATCACCCACGACAATCAAGTCTTTAGTACTGGCTGCTTCGGTCAGTTGCTGTAGAATTCCTCGTTGCTCTCCTCTTTTTGGTAAGAACTATAGCAGACTCCCACCATCAGGTCCCCCTCTCCTGAGCCCCCTTGTATCTTGACCCAGAGGGTCTCAAGGGGCTTCCCCCTGCCATCAAATGTAACCTGCAGGGAGGGGTACTGCTCTTTCACATAGAGGGCCAACCCTCCACCCTTCTTCCCAATCCTCCTATAGAGCCTGTACCCCTCAATATTCACTCCCCAGTTACATGTATCGTCTCACCAAGTCTCCGTCAATCCAATGAGGTCAAATTCCTTGTCTGCCAGGAGTGCCAGTTCATCCTGTTTGTTCCCTATGCTTCTGGCATTCCCATAAAGACAGCTGAGCTTACCCCTAGTCGTCTCAGGTTTTCTGTCCCTCTGCAAGTGTCTCTGGGTGTTGGTATCTATCTGGATGTCCCCTACGTGAATACCTTCCTCTGGGTCTTCTTGGTCAAAGAATTTATGTCCAGCAGTGAATTTGTGCTTGGCAGCGGAATCTTCCCCTGTTCCCCGGGGCTTGTCTAGTTTAAAGTCCTATTCAGCAAGTCTGTGATTCTCGTGGAGAAGAGTTTCTTCCCTCTGCCCGTGAGATGGATACCATCTCTTGCATGCAGACCAGTACCGTTGAACTGCATACCAAGGTTGAAGAATCCAAAGGCAACACGATAACACCAACTCCAAAGCCTTTGGTTGACTTCTTCAATGCATTTCTCCCTCCGACGGCCTAGGCCTCTAACTGGGAGGATTGAGGAAAAGACCACTTGTGCTCCTAGTTCTTTGAGCTTCGCTCCCATGGCCTTGTAGTCATTCATGATTCTCCCAGGGCTGTTTCTCATCATGTCATTGGTGCCCAGAGCAGTAGTGGTTGAGGAGTATGGGGTAGTGGTCTGTGGGGCAGACCAGTTTTGGGGCCTTGCCATTACATCTCGGATCCTGGCTCCTGGGAGACAGCAGACCTCTGGAGCAAAGGGGTCTGGATGACAGATGGCACCTTTTATTCCTCACAGCAGGGAGTCTCCCACTGCAATCACCCTACATTTCTTCTGATGGTGGCTGTTCCTGACTTGTCCTTGGTGCGGAGGATGCGAATGCCTCTTCTGTTGATGGTGTGAGGGCTGGGTAGTTGTTATGTAGGTGGAGTCACTGACACACGTTGTGGCTTTGGGCCTGATGCGACCAATCTCCACTCTCTGTCATTAGGGGCATCTTGCTGGAGCTTGCTCTTCTTCCTGGTCTCAGTGTCATAATTGTCCAGGTGCAGTGTCTGGCAGTAAGCATCAATGTCCTCCTCGTGCTTCCTGATGGCTCCCAGTCTGCTTGCCTCCTACTGGAGCTCCCTCACCCGGCCCTCCAGTCTCCACCACTAAGCACATCCCACAGTAACATGCTGCCTCTTCTGGGCATATTCTGCACTCGATGCAGGAGCATGCTGAATTTTAATTAGACTTTTTTCAGATCTGTAAGCAGCCTAGTAATTAGGACACTTTCTAAGCAAATGGGAGATCCATGTTCAGTTCCTTCCTTCCCCTGATGGGGTTCAAACCTCTCTCTCGTATATCTCTAGGGAAGGACCTGGCCACCATCCTGAATTCAAGATTCAATAGGCAAAAAAGGTGAGAGTGCCCAGTGGGCATTCTCTGAGATGGGCCAGATGTGGGTTCTAATCCCTGCTTCCAGTCCGGTTTCTGTTTTACATTAAATAGTCATGAGAAATTACAGGTGATTACATGAGTTAAATCCATCCTTAGAGCAGGGACACTTACCTCTAAGAGAAAGTTTCCAGCTGTGAAGTGTGGTACCTCCTTGCAGTCTGGAGTAAGGTGTTCAGGGCTAGAGGGAGAGGGATTTGGGAGCTTTTTTTGTTAGCTAGCTGCAGCCAATCATGATGATTACAACAACTGACTTAGCAGGCTGGCTCTTTTGGACCTCATTCTACCCATGCACTGCATGAGGAGCTTGGGCACCTCGCTCTAGATTCTACTCCAGGACCCAGACACCTGAGTTTTTAGTGCTGGGAGGAGTGGGGGGGCAGCAACTCGCCACAAGTGGCACAGGCAGCCTGTGTGTCCAGCACATGGTAGACTGGGGAAAGAACAGGCAGCATAGCAGCAGATAGGACAAGAAGCAGAAAGCAAAGCAGTAGATCAGCCAGGGAGCACAGGACAGGGAGCAGAAAGCTGAGCAGCCAGGGAGCACAGGGCCAGGAGCAGAAAACCAAGTAGCTGAGCAGCCGGGGAGCACAGGGCAGGGAGCAGAAAGCTGAGTAGCTGAGCAGCCAGGGAGCATGGGGCAGAAAGCTGAGTAGCAGACAAGTCAGGGAGCACAGGGGCAGGGAGAAGAAAGCTGAGCAGCAGATCAGCCAGGGAGCATAGGGCAGAAAGCTGGGAGCATCCTGGCACCAGCAGAAAGCAGAGCAGATCAGGCAGGGGAAGTGACCTGGAGTGGCACTCGGGAAGGGCACACCTGCCACACCAGTTGCCCCGCAGCTGTAGTGGCTCCTCAGAAGAGGCTGACACCCCTGTGAGCACGGCTGTCCTTCACAGCCGGCCGCCCCTTCACCCCGCTCCACCGCAGCCACTACTGACAGCACCTCCCCTCTTCACAAAGATGCTGCACCGCATGAAACACTCTGGGAGGACCAGGCCTCTAACGTGGGAGGGGGCACCGGGTCTAGCTCAATACCCGATGCCCGAACACAGGACAGAGAGGAATGGCACGGCCCCCCCGCCCGCCTCAGCTCACCTTGGTACGACCCCCCCCGGCGGGAACGGAGCCCAAGGCGCCCCCTGCTGCCTGCGCCTGCCCAGCCCGCAGCCGCACAAGAGAAACGCGCTTCCTGGTTCGCGGGCCCCGCCATTGTGACGTCACGGCTCATTGTGAGCCTGTCGTCCCGCTCCTTAAAGGAACAGTGCTTCGGAGCCAGCAGCCCTTGGTTAGCCGTGGCGGGCAGCGGAGCCGCGAGGCTGCTGAGACTCCCCGAGAATGGACAGAGCGCCCGCACTGAGTGGGTTTGAAAGCCAAAGATTTGGAGAGGAAGATAATTAACTAAACAAAGCAGACCCCCGAGAAGGCAGCCCCGGGCGCCGCTTGCACACGTTTCAGTTGACAGAGTAAAAAATGATAGGGTTATCAGAGTCAGGCTAGTAAACCTTTGAGATCACCAGCACTTAAACACCTTAGTCAGGCAAGGATTTAATTCAGGACACGTTCCTGTCCGTACCCGGGCACTGGATGCCGGGAGAGCCAAACCAGAGTTAGGTCAGGCTGTCACCTGTATAAGAGCCTTGGGGAAATCCCCGTCCTACAAAAAGACAGACAGGTTCTTTGGGTAAACGGGATTTCTGTTATTAGATCAGGGGTCAGCAACCCCTGGCACCTGTGCTGAGTATGGCATGCGAGGCCATTTTGCTCGGCACACCACCGCAGGCCTAGGCTCTAGGCAGCTGCTGCCAGCCACAAAGCCCGGGCTGCTCCCAGCAGGCAGTTGGGCGGCTGCAAGCAGGCCTGGGCTCGGTGGTGGGCAGCCGCTACCCAGAGCCTGGGCCGGCAGCCAGGAGGCTGCAAAGGTCTGCTCCTGGCTCCAGCATTAGCTGCATACTGGCGGGTGGACGCATGCCTTGGAGCGGATGGTGGGGGAGGGTCCTGAGGCAGTACAACCCCGGCCTCTCCCGCGCTGCTGGCACAGAGCTGACGGTGGGACTCTGGAGTCCGGCGCAGCTGTTACTAGCCAGCCTGGGCTCTGGGCAGCAGCAGCAGGTAGGCTGCAAACAGCTGCACCTCGCAGGCTCCACAGCCCCAGCCATCAGCTCTAGGCTGGCAGCAACTGCATATGCACCTCAGAGCGAACAGTGGGAGGGCTGTGCTGCCTCAGGCCCTATCCCTACTGTCCGCTCCAAGGCGTACGTGCAACCGCCAGTATGGAGCTGATCCCGGAGCCCGCAGCAGCTGTTTGCAGCCTCCCGGCTGCAGCCAGCCCAGGCTCTGGTAGCTGCTGCCAACCACGAGCCCAGGCTGTTTGCAGCTGAGCCCATCTTGTTGTCTCCAAAGGACAGTGTGAGTTCGTGCCCGGTGCACTTTTGCCAATAAACACACAGGGGTGGAGGATCCAACTTAATCTTTATTGTTTCCAGTCTGC